CTTTGTACAACTTATAACAATATCTTGAAAGGAAATTACACAGTGGGCCGTACTCGAATAACAGAATAACACTGGCAGACCAGTTAATTAATTAACCGAACGTTAAGCGCGGAGAGAACACCAAGGATTCGTTCGAGTTTAAATGAAATCATACTCAATCACCTCGATCTATACATTGAAGTATAAATAATTGTACATAAAGCAATTGCAGATATCATCGCTACAACTTCATTCTTTCTGACAAACTAATCCTTAAAAAAAGAAACATTTCTGAATAAATTAAATTATAATATGGTCATACTGATACATAAAAATAAAGAATCAAAGAGCAACTTAGAAAATTACCATCCGATTATTATCACCCCCATGCTGGTAAAAATAAAATAAATCATCTATAAAAATCTCATGCTGATAATCAAAGCTTTCCTTTGTTATACGGTTGCAAACAATAAACTTCAATCATGTCTTGATAATTTTTAGCATTTGCACAACGATTTATATCATCCAGTTTTATTTATCCACTGTAAAAATAGCCACCTAAATCATATCTCCCCATTCGGTCGCAACGAGGGTCGATATTAAAGCCCCGACATCGGTAGCGATAGTATTCTATTTAAACTATAAAGTAAAATAAAATTACTTACATTTTTAATTGTATTTCGACATTTCCGGAATTTGCTAATTTTGTAGCAGCTTTGTCCACATTGTGCTGCCGTTCTTTTCGAAATTTATTTTCATTGGAATTTTTCGAATTCCTCGATTTTGTTTGTGGGTTTTCATTTCTTTCTTTACTTCCTCTTAATTTTTATTCTAAACTTTTCAATAAAAAAACATAGAATTGAATGATTTTCATTTATTAATGGAAAATTTTGAAGAACGATTCGACCAGGACGAGTTCAACAATGGTTTAATTTCATTGTTGATCTGTTAACAATTGTTTAAATATTGCATTGTTGTAATGACGTCACGAATGACGTCGTCGGCGTTTAGTCTTATAATTCGTACAAAATTTAGATATTTGAAAAATAAAATATTATATTTTATTTGTGGAAGTTTAAATGACACGGATAACTTTATAGGGATTGGTATTTATTGTTAATCGCTATCCGGGTTTTGTCAGACGCAAAGTTTATCGTGGAAGCGAAATAATAAAATTATAAGTTGGCCTTCAAAATATTGAAAATTGCTTTGAGCAAGAGGATTGATTTGAAGGTGATAGTTTTAAACTATTTAAAGCAAGCAACTATAAGCTTTTGTATCCTACCACGTACAAATACAATAGACACGACGTGTTCGCTTTTTATTCTCTATTTTTGCACTGTGATGAAAACATTTCGAGTAATATGTAAATAAATTGGGAGATAAAAGGGGAGTTACTATACTTCGAGTCTGTTCTTTTCTCGGTCCGAAGGATCATCATAAAATCGAAATTTTTATTCGCTTTTATACAGACACGAAACACCAGAATATTACATTTTTCAATTCATATTACTATCAACACGAGTGTATATGCAAGGATTGATCCGTCTTTTTCGCGACAGGGAGGCGCAAAAATGACGAAATTCGCTGAAAAATCCAAACGTTTTACATTAAATTTCGTGGCGACGCAACAATAAAACTCTGATAATTTGTTGCGAGCTGTTTAATTTTTCTGTTCGTGTGATTAAAATTGGTTTATTTCAAGCGTTTTCTGAGTTTTGCACCATTTGCAGTGATTTCATCGGTAAGTTTCTAAATCAGAAACTTTCTAAATCAAGGTATTTTTGCACATTGTTCAGCCGAATATCACAATTAGCGACAATGAATTTTTGACAAAGCTGCATTTAGATAACAATTGATCGTTTTGGTCAGAGAGACTACGAATGGGGTCTTTCCGCTTATTTTGGAGATACTTTTCACCCTTTTTATGGTTAATTTTCGTTAAACCCAAATCCCATCGAATTGTTAAAGATGTGTAATTGTTAAAGCAAAATGGGAATTAATAAATACAATGAATTGTTATTTCCCGTTACGGTTTATATCTCTTATGAAATTCGCGCCGCTTTAATTAATTAAAAATGGTTGCAAAGATTAAAATTACTATATTTAATAATTACAGATTTTATCATAATATTGATTTGTGACTTTGGAACTTTTATTTCAATTAAAATCTTTTATCGTAAATCTTTACTGCATTTGAACATGAAATATCTATATATTTCTTACTTACAATTTAGATGAAATTAAGACAATAGAAATATTTCTTAATTAATGCAAGTTCCGTTTTCACAACATTCGCTCATGTTTCTTTGCAGAATGGATAACTTCAAAAAATTAAAGGAGTGGCACACCTCGGGCCAGGGCCGTGCCGAGCCCGAGGATGAGGTCTCGTCTTCGCCTGGTGTAATACGGATGGTACCGAAAGGTGCGGAGGAGGAGTCGCGTACACCCGACATCAAACGGGTGGTCGTCGTAACTCCGGACGACAGCGCCTCGTCTCTCATCCATTAACTGGAGCGGCGATATCCCGAAGTTGAGGGATGGACGATGGAGACGAACGGTCACGTGAGACGGCACTGGACAGAAAGGAGTCCGAAAAAGCCGTGGTGAAGCGCAAAAGGCCTTGGTGGAAAAGGTTTTCTGCTGCTTAAAAAAGTAACACTCTTTCTTCCGAGCCTTCTTGCGAGGATTTCGACTTTCCACCGAATGTGACACAGCCACCCGGAAGTGACCTTTCATCCGTCTATGACACTTTTACCCGGAATTGATCTTTTACCCGGCTACGATTTAATCAACCGGACTTGACTTTCCATCCCAATTTACTGACGGAGTATCCGTCAGTAAATTGTATGCACTTCCACTTCGTTTAAAGTGCATAGAAGTGACAACGAAACATTAAGCAGTGTTCTCGTGTTTAACACGCGTTACGCTGTTGTTTAAACGACTATAACTGGCCAAAACAACTTATAATATTTCTACTAGTAAAACATTTCACCACAGAATAACGGAAGGAAACGATTTCCATCTTGAACTTTAACATTGCAGTGGATATATGTCTAAAGCAAAACTATAATTTGTTGAATTTACTGGTTATAGCTGTATATTCGTTTGTGAATGGTTGTCTCTTTAATCGGACTTATTCTTTCAGTAGACTATCTTACAGCATCAATGCATTTCGAACTGGTTTTATATTTCCAGTTCTTTTCACAGAACTATAATTACTCCAACAGTTAAAACTGTACATGGAATTTTCACCATTGTATATAAATTCTTATACTTAATAAAACTTATTGAATTTAATACTAACAGTTTAAAGATTCGATATTTATTGAAGTTACGCAATTTTAGATTAATTTAAAATTAATAAGAATGTTTCTGACAGTTATGACGGAAAATAAAGTGTACATGATTCATAACGAATAAAAAAAAAATTCAAATTTACTGAGCAAAATATAATTTTAAAAAGTTGGATGCTTGTAGAAAAACAATGGTATTAAAAATAAAATCATATTAAACCGAGGTCTGGCAGCACATTTTATAAATACGTTTTTAACATCAGAAAAATCCTAAAAAAATACATCTACAAAAAGCTATATTTGCATAAAAATATTATGCCTGTTCGTTTTAAATTTCCTATACTTAGTAATAAGTGACTCATTATTAATGACGTGAAAAAAGTAAAATATGAAAGACACGATGACTCAAAAATATGGAAACGATTTCAGGCCGTTTTCAGTTATTAAATGAGGTAAAATCAGCATGACGGGAAACATGCAGTTGAAACGAAGGATTACAGTAAAGCTTCCACAAGCTGTACCAGCGCTGGAAAAAGATGTATCGTCGACTAAGAAAATTGCTTTGAAGGTGATTTAAACTATTCAAAGCATTATCTATAAGCCGTCCTCTAACTTTATCCTACCACGTAGAAATACAATAGAAATGACGTGTTTACTTTTCATTCTGTATTTTTGCGATATGATGATAACATTTCGAATTTTGCGCGATGTCGCCGCGTGTGTGTATTGTTTCCGTAATTGTGTTACTAAATTCATTGAATGTAATAATTAATGTAACCATTTTTCATATTGCAATATGTAAATTATTCAATTCATTATTAGAACTTTAATAAAGAATTTAAAGAATATATACATTGATATACAGTAATACCCAGAACTTACGCGATAGGTAGGACAGAGCGATAACCACATAAGTCGAATTCGCGTAAGTCGGGGTATAATTTTGCATATAAATACATACAAATAATTTTTAATTGGGGCCGGAGACTAAAGAAAACAATAATTTAGAAAAAAATGTTTAATTAATAAAACCTTAGATAATACATATGTATAACAAATTTTGTTATTATACAATTTTTCACATTTACTTGATTATCACACCATAATTTTAACATTGTTTCCATCTCAGTGATAATACCATAATGTTTACGAATGATGCTTGAATTTAAAGATTGAGCATTTTTCGTAGCTTCGAGAATTTTTTATTTACCTTTTATAATTGTTCTGACTGTCAATTCCAGTAGATCAAACTTATTTGCCAATTCACAANTGTACTTCGTATAAGTTTACCTCATTGAACCGAAGAAATAAACTGCAGATAATAGTGGTTGGTGCAAAAGAGAAAAATACCACTTGTATATTAAACTTTTCCCTCGTTTCTATAATCCTTAGTGATTTCATCTTGGCTAGTATCGCTGTCTGGATCAGAGTAATAATTAATCCAGACCTACACCGTAGGCTGATACCCGAAAGTATTGCAATTGGGTTTATTTGACACCATTGAAATTTCGTTGATTTATTAAACGATTATTGTGAATGTGTTCGATACATTCTTTCTTAACCCGAATAGAACAGCAGAGATTAAATTTATTAATATTTATTTAATATTCAAATTTTAAATTATTTTCATATAATATTAATCATCAACTTGCATGATAACGAGTACGTTGTTTATCAAATTAGTTTTTTGTCTAAAGAGTTTTAAAAAGTTTGAAATGAACGTACCCTTCTATAGGATGAGCTGATCCAAGTACTGTTTGTGTTGTTATTAATGTAAAACCTCCACAACAGCTATTTTTCCTGAATATTGCTACCTGATTAAATATATTTACATCTGTAAGGTAATTCATTATATCTGATCTTTAATGAACGAGTTTAAATGAGTAAACATACCATATATGGAAATTCTCCATCATTAGCAATTTCACCTCCAACAATCCTCCGTTGTCTTCCTAAAAATGTATTAAATTATTTCATAAATATGGAATTATTATCTGAAAAATACAATGTTTTCTCTTCTACCTGACTTAGTTTCATTTTTCTCGTGAACTGACAGGGTGTATATGACATTTAGGAGGAAGAATAATAATCCAAATCTGTAATTTATAAGTATTCTAATTATAGATTCAGCCGTGTAAATAAATGCAGTGTACAGTGAATGAAACTCCACATCAATTTGTATTTCTCGACCTCTGCTCTGTGGGTATCGACATAGCCTTATAATTATATCTACCGTTTCATTGGCGAGGCCCCAAATAAGATCCAATATTACCGAAATACTGCTATAACTGTATATTGTATAACTGCCAAAAAATTCCTGGTGTTTTTTGACAGCCTGGATTCGATTCGTGGATTCCCTTAGTACGGAATCTTTCATTGGCTTTTGTGGATCAAGGATTTTTCGACTGCAATATCATAATGGTATAGAATTTGTGGCTTTTTATGGCCGAAAATATGTTGATGTCAGTACTAATTTCTTTAAATTAAATGTAAATTCTGTATTATATTAATTTAATACTTATCGTAGAATTCAAATAAAACTGATTTAACTCATTCGTTCAAAAATTTTGATATAAATCATACCTTAATATGTCTTTCATTTTATGGACGTGATTAAACGTTGATATCTGAAATAATAATGTAAATATTATATATACAGTTTTGCAAATGAGAATGTAAAACTTACGAAATAAATTCATAATCATTCTGCAACAGCAATAATCTCAATAATGAATAATATACAATGAATTATTAATCTGTAATACACTATGTATTACACAGTTTTCTTTTTAAAAGAATAATAAAAATTTTGTAGATCATAAATTTTATATATGCGTCACGATTTGCAATAAAAGTATTACAGAAACATTCGGGTAAAACATTAAAAAACGTGAACGTCGAACGTCGAGCGCTGCTTACAAGTAAGCAACGCTCGACGTTCGACGTTCACGTTTTACGGATGGAAACTTCGGCCGCAACCTCTCTATTGATTATTAACAATCTGTGACATGCCATAACAAGCAAAAATTTAAAAAAACTAGCTGGCTGAATGTTAATAAATAGAAATGTATTTTGCCCTTTGTAGATTGGTGTGAAAAAGAATAAATTCGTGGATATAAAAACGTAGAACGTAGAAGTTATCTAGCAACAAATGTGTGATTATAAAAGTTCTAAGTTTAAATACTTATTTTATATATATATATAATATACATGATGCATTTGGGAAATTAAAAAACTTTTACTTACCTTTCTGTTGCTTAAGTTACTGCGAAACTTCAATATTTGTGTGAAGTTAAATGCCTTTATTTATGCTGCAACACGGGGAAGTTAATATGTAACTTGTATTTATAATTATATCGTTTAAAAAATTTCAATGTATATATATTTAGAATGAAATTAAATACATTGTTTCTTTATTATAGATATGTCGTTAAAAACGCGATGGTGTTCGTAAAATAATATTCTTAGTATAATTGCTCTCTGTATCTTGAAATTGATACGTGTTTATACAATTGTAATAACTTCGTATAAATGCAGAAAAAGGGTGTTTAAAGATGATATTTGAAAATAGTTTTAAACATAGAATTTTTTTCAATTCTTTAAACAATTTCTATATACAGTCGACCCCCTATAACACTGTTGATAATTCCGTTTTATATGAATTCCACGTTGTACGAGTCACTTAGATTTTACAAATACGTGAGCCGTTCACAGACACGCATTTGTAAAATCTAAGTGACTCGTACAACGTGGAATTCATATAAAACGGAATTATCAACAGTGTTATAGGGGGTTCGACTTTGTATTAAAAGTGTTTAATAGAATAGGAAAAGCTGGTTAAAATAAACGAAGTACACTATATCTGAGAATCATAAGCTTTACTTCTGCTGTTGAAATGTCTGGCAGATACATTGTGAATAGGATCGTACTTTTCCATTATTTTTTATTTGCGGGATTTATATGTTTTTCAGGCATTAAAGCTGAAAGGCACATTAAACAATACAGATTATATATCAATTCGGTTGTACAAGCATTAAATAATACCGAGGATGTAAATCTGGATAAACCAATTGAAATCGTAAATTCTGAAATTACGTATATGATAATGACAACTGTACCCAGTCTACACTGTGAGTAAATCGTATAACAAAGAAATATCGCGTGAGTTTGTGTTAAATCCATTAAACAGGACAAAATAATAAATTATAAGATAGGAAAAATATGTAAATAGTCTGTATTGGGTTTCTTTATTTGTTTTCTACTTTCTAATATAACACTTATTGGTTACTGAATTATCCCTGCTTTTAAAAAGCGAACTGTTTTAAACAGAGGTGTCGTGACAGCCTTGTCTATCTCTCACTGATATTCGGGAGAGATGGATCATTTTTTATATGGGATTTAATACAGAAATAAGCAAAATTGTATGAGTAACGTCCGACTAGAATGCCGCATGTACTGTACATTACACTAATAGCTTCATGATAAATAAATGGCAATGAATGTGACTTTTTTAAAGCTCTTTCTGCCCTGTGGACAGTAAAAAGGCCTTTTTTAACAAGTCCATTATGGGTTCGGTTAGGTCCACAATGGATCGACAGGGTGGTGAGGAATGCAACCCGACCACCCCTGAAAAATTCTTGGGGATTTTTCGATCCGTCCGGTTACGCTCCCGGGTCGTCCAGAGCGGTAGGCTGCCACCTTATGACCGTAATATTTAAACTCGAAACAATTTTAATATGGCATAAATATTTTAGTGTGAAAAACATGTAAAACGTACTAAACCTGACAATATCGTTAATGTTTTGTTTCATTCCTATTCCCATTTTTCGCAGGTGTATCTCTCCTTTAAAGCTAGTCCAACTAACCCGCAGGTTTCATAGTGATATGGAATAGATAAACTACTCGTATATTGTTTTGTTAATTAATAACACATTTGTTTATGTGTCTTTCACATTTACACTATTACTTATTTGTTAGCATATGTCACCAGCATACTATAGTACAATTTTTTCATCGGGTATTGCAATAAATAAGAAAAATATAGAAATGTTTATAAAGGGGTCATCTCTCCCGGATTTACTATATAATTTCTACATTCTATCCTCTTTCTAATGGTTAAAATTACTACTGAAATATATATACATAAATTTTATACTTGTTTTTTACTTAAGATTTGTTAACATATCATCTAGGTATGAATAATTTCAGGTTTTAGAGATTGATGTCTAATTTGTCAGTAATTAAAGTCAATAGGTAAACAAACCAATAAGTAATTTAAAACAGCAATAAAAGCCCCCCCTTCTGGTACCAACCAGAAGGGGGGGGGCTTTTATTATCTGAACCAAATTGAGCTGTAATTTAAAATATTCGTGGACCTATAAATAAATGTCGTCCGTCCGTTCGTCTATTCTTTCTTAATCTGAAGAACGGAGTTAGATATGACTCCTTTCAGGGAGAGATTTTTGAATTGAAATCAGTAAATTGATAGCAACAGAATCCCAGCGGCCATTAATTAACAGGAAAAGTATTATTTACAGAGGCAAAAACACTACAAATTTGTGGAGGAGAGCATAAATTATAAATTAATTAATGTATTTATATTTCTTATATATCTTATGTTAGTTTTCCTTCGGTATTAGCTACCCGTCCTTGTGATTTAATCAGATAATGTTTACTAACTTCTCTATGTCTTTCTGTATCAATTTCTTGTTCTTCTGTACTTTGGATTAGATTGCTTATTAATTTGTTCTATTTACTTACGTCATTACGTAACTCGTCTACGATCTATTTGCTTGATACTTTAGTTGATCTTTCTGAGGAAATTCTAGAACTTCAACTGCTTATTGACGATGTATGGGATTCATTATAGAAACGTCTGAATGTACTTGAACTCAGATCCATATGAGCTCTTTCCTTCGCAAGAATCTCTCGATGTTTCAGATAAAATAGTATTTCGGGTGTTTCGTATTCATTTAAAAAAAAAAAAAATTATACAAAAATCAATTTTAAATTTATGCCATCGACCTCAGACGAATTATGAAAATTTCACGTGACTATCTCCGTACTATCCACGTATTTATGACTTTTGTTTAACAAGTAAATCTTTAAAATTCCTTACAATTTAATATTATTTACAAAACTAAACTTACTTATAAATATTTTATTGTTTTTCTTTGTTTATTCTTTCTGTCTTGTAAACACTAATACTAAATATTCTCAAATTGAATTATTCAAATCTCTGAGTGAGAGCTCCTGACTCAAAGAAAAATTGGACATTGCTCGGAGGTTGAAAAAATAGACGTTGTTTAGAGATTAGAGACAGCCATTATTGAAGAGTCAACTGTATTTTAATGAAATATTTAATTTATTTTATATTTTATTCATAATTAAATTCTTTCTTTCAGAGATTCATTTCACTGTCGATGATTCGGCATATTCTCCATTTAAGAAAGTGTTTTCTAAGTGCATTACAGTTATTAATTGCATACGTCATGTAATGAATATCGAAAATTAATTATCTTTGATTATATAAGATTTGATTATACAGTAGAGCGTCGTTTATCCGAAGGTCGGTTATCCGAAGGAATTCCAGTCGACAAATTTAAATTTTCGCCAGTGCTGTGGCGCTGTAATCTTTGGCTATGTCTTCGGCTACTCAAATATTTTACGTTTTTGATACTAAATTGACTTCTGANAAGTATAAAAATTTATATACAATGGTGGAAATTCCATGTACAATTTTAACTGCTGAAGTAATTATAGTTCTGCTTTAGACATATATCCACTGCAATTTTAAAGTTCAAGATGGAAATGGTTTCCTCCCGTTATTCTGTGGTGAAATGTTTTACTAGTAAAAATATTATAAATTGTTTTGGCCAGTTATAGTCGTTTAAACAACAGCGTAACGCGTGTTAAGCACGATAACAGTGCTGAATGTTTCATTGTCACTATTGCCACAGTAGATGCACTTCTATGCACTTTAAACGAAGTGGAAGAACGAATCTCGAATGTTGTCCAAGTATCCGTCAGTAAATTGGGATGGAAAGTCAAGTCCGATTGATTAAGTCGTAGCCGGGTAAAAGACCAATTCCGAGTAAAAGTGTCATAGTCAAGTGAAAGGTCACTTCCGGGTGGCTATGTCACATTCGGTGGAAAGTCGGAATCCGCGCAAGAGGTCTCGGCAGAAAGAGTGTTACTTTTAGCAGCAGAAAAACAACCTCTTCCACCGAGGCCATTTGCACTTCACCACGCTTCTTCGGATTCTTTTCTGTCCAGTGTCGTCTCCACCGTCCATCCCTCAACTTCGGGATATCGCCGCTCCAGATAATGGACGAGAGACGAGGCGCTGTCGTCCGGAGTTACGACGACCACCCGTTTGACGTCGGGTGTACGCGACTCCTCCTCCACATCTTTCGGAAGCACCCGTATTACACGAGGCCAAGACGTGGCGCCGTCCTCGGACTCGGCATGGCCCTGGCCCGAGGTGTGTTATTCTTTTAACTCTTTGAAATTATCCATGCTGCAAAGAAAAATGAGCGAATGTTGTGAAAACAGAACTAGTATTAATTAAGAAATATTCCCATTGTCTTAATTTCATCTA